ATTTGACAGATGGAGTTGTCGTCTAAGATGGAGTGGTAACCATTTCATGTCTCTATAAACATTAAGGCTGCTCTCTGTTTTTGGAACGTTGAGAGCTATTTTGGCTACCTTTTTGTACAGAGTGTCAAGTTCAGCAAGTTTTGTCTTGCCAGCTCTACAATAGATCGTGTCTAAATAATCGAATTGTGGCAACATGAGTGCATTGGCAAACATTTTCCTATATTTAATGGGTAGCAGTGCTTTGCTTCTATACATGGCACCAATTCTCTTCATGACCTTCCTAATAATATAATCTACATGGCTTTTGAAGTTTAATTTACTATCTAGAATGAGGCCAAGATATTTTGTCTCTTTGCACTCCTTGATTGTGAAAGTTACCTCATTACAATCAATGGTTATTTCATCATGTTGGTCAACAGAATCAAACAATAGGAATTCAGTCTTCTTTTCATTGAGTGATAATTTATTAACACTGAGCCATTTAAAGATTGTCATAAGTTCTATTTTCATGTTTATAAATGTGCTTCTGCAGGTTTGATCAAAGAATAGTGCACCATCATCTGCAAATAGAAAGGGCTTAGATAGGTTACAGGCATAAATGATGTCATTTATGAAGATACTAAATAATATAGGCCCAATGATGCTTCCTTGTGGTACACCACTCAGAACTTCTAAAAATGAGCTTAGATTGCCATTGATCCTAGTGCATTGATATCTACAAGATAAGAAGTTCTTAAACCAGGTTAAAGCAATGCCACCAATTCCATAATATGCCAATTTTTGAAGCAATATTTCATGATTCACTGTGTCAAAGGCCTTCTTAAGATCAAGAAAGATGATTCCTGGTTTATAAGACTTAGATTTACTCATATATATTTCGTCCATCAGATCGTACATCAGATAAGTTGTGGAGTGATTTTTCCGAAAGCCATATTGATGCCGGATGAAAAGTTTGTTCTCTTCCATGTAATCAGTGAGTTGCTTGCCGACAAAGTATTCTATAAGTTTTCCTACAAGTGGAAGGATGGATATTGGCCTGTAATTATTAGGATCATCTTTCATTCCTGCCTTATGGATGGGAGTTACTCTAGCTTTTTTACAAAGGGTTGGTACAACACCTGTATTAAGGCTCAGATTGACAATGTGGGTCAGTGGCTCAACTATGTGTGGTACAGCTTGCTTAAGTAAAAATAGAGGCACATTGTCATATGAGGCCTTGTCATTCTTGAGCGTTTCGACATACATTAGGATATCAGTTTCATTTATTTCTTGGAATCTATCAAATGAGATATTAGAAGTTCTAGGAGGTAAAAAATCAGTAAAACTAACTCTTTCAATATTGGGGGCCTGATTTTGTAATCTTGATCCAACATTTGCAAAATGAAAGTTAAATAGCTCAGGATCATTCTCATTGATAGTTTGACAATTAGTTGTACCAGGGGTCATATTTGATGCCAGTTTGATAGTTTTCCATATCCCTTTAAGATCATTCTTGGCACTTTTAACTTGTAGATCATCGATTACATTAGCCTTTTTGCAGGTTTTAGCTAATTTATTTCTAATATTTCTCTGAATCTTGTAGCAATCCCAGGCCTCATTACACTTTATACATTTGCTACATGTACCACATTTATTGCAATTTCCATTGTCTCTCTTATCCTTCTTTTTACGGAATTTCTTTAGAAGAAAATGTGTATGATTAATGGCATATAAAAGTTCAGTAGAAGGTTTATGTATGAACTTTTCATGCCTTTCTATGGTCTTGCAAGGGAAGAAGGTTGCATATGCCTGTTCAATATGATGACAAAGGCCAGCTGTGATAGCTTCAACATCTGTACTTTCCAATAGTGGACTGTAATCAGAACAGGTGTCTAGATAGTCTAAGAATTGTTTAACATTACGTTTACAATGATTTCTAATTTCAACCTTCTCAAATTTAGGAGCTATAGGTACTTTACAATCTATCTCACACATAATAGCTTGATGATCTCCAATACGTTCATCAAGAACAGAAGATTGGACAAAATCTGCATAACAGTTAGTGAATATTACATCAATAGTAGTCTGGGTAACATTGTCTCCACGTTTAGCAACTCTAGTTATCCCTTGAATGGTTTGAACTAGATTGTAACATCTCAAGGTCATATCTAATTTTTTGTACTGGGTGGATGAGATATTATTCTGGTCAATGTTTATATCCCCAATCCAGATAACCTTTTTCCCATTCAATTTTTTCATGCAAAAATGAATGTATTCAATAAAGTTATCAACACTGCAATAATTTCCAGAGCGATAGAAGCAGCAAACATTGATCTTGCTATTCTTAAGCTTCACCCATAATGCTTCAATGTTATCAAGCTTACTATCCATAACTAATTCTGTGTAAGCTAGTTTTTTGTTTATCATTAAGCCACAACCACCCCTAGAACTGTTTGGCCTGTCGCATCGCATAAGGTTGAAGGAGGAAGGAATATTTATGGTGTCTGTGTCAATAGTATCATTAAGATTCATCTCATTTAGGGAAAGTATGTCTAATTTATGATCTCTAATAAGTTGGGAAAGTTCATTACTTTTAGCTAAATTGAGAAGCCCTCCTTGAATGTTACAATGACCAATGCAGAGGTTGTGAAACCTATCAGCTGCATTATTAAAATTTGTCATCTTGTGAATCTTATTAATTCACAATGGAATGAATAAAAGTTGTAAAGTTGTGTTTAAACTAAAAAACAGAATAAAAGCAGGTTGTATTTGTCTGGATGTCGTACTGTAAAAATAAAACTGATGGTAGGAGTGTTATGTCAGTATTCAGCAGTATTCTAATGGTGTGCATGATACTTCAAGTGCCTTGCTAATTTAACTATGCCATAATCATTGAGATGGACATTATCCTCTCCATAACTACTAAAAAATGACGATTTTCTAAAGCCTTTCTTATCACTAAACAAGAAACGATTTGTCTCGGTTGAGAGCAGTTTTACATAGGTGTATTTTCTTTGCAGATTTGATATACACTCATTGATATCAGTTATAACCTTGTTTCTGGAGAAACTCTCCCGAGGTAATAAGTTAACAATTTTAATATCAGCTCCAGGTGCCCACTTGTGAAGGAAAAGTACAAGTTTTTCAATACAATTGTTTGTAAAGTCAAGAGCTCTAGCATCACCAGAAAAACTATCAGGGCACAGAAGTTTAGTCCTCATGTTGCGAGGGCTGTTCAGGATAGAGTCCACGTCATTTGTACCACACATAAGTACAATGCTTTTCACATTATTGGTATTAAGAGTGTCTTTTCTTACATCTGATTGAAACCGTTCATTGATTGCATTGGCTGTGGCACCAGGGTAGCTGAATACATGTGCCTCATGATGTTTGGACGATAGCTTTTCTCCCTCTAATTTGGAGAACATACTAGAGCTAATGTAGACACACAAAGATTTACCAGAATGTTCTATTGATCTAGTCTTAGGGGCCGAGGGTTCAGTGTTCTTAACTTGACTGGAAACATCAGACAGAGTAGATAAGGTTGCGCTGCCATCAATTAGGCGCAGAGTAATGCTTATTCTCATGGTTTCAGACTTGTCCTGGATGAGGCTGTGTTCAAAGCTGGTCTGGGATTGTCTGGTCATATTCATTATGTCACCATGGGAGAGGGTGAGGTCAGCAATATGAGCTCTAAGTTTGGATCTGAAGCTTAGGACTCTAGTAGCCCCTAAAGAGATGGTGGAGATCATGGAGCCTGGTGAAATTGACCTCTCGTCATCCGAGTGAAAGGGAATTCCTTGCTGACCATTTCTATACTTGGTAATCATAGCACTATTGAATTTCAATTTTGGGAACTGTGAGCGTAAGCGTTCTAGAATAGACTTTAGGTATGGATTGTCTGCTACTGGCCTTGTGTTATGAAAGCCTCCATTGTAAGCGTAGGGAAAGTCCCCGTAATATGCAACTGCCCTATTCTCAAACTTATGAGTATAGTGGGTTTCTATATCTAACTTGGCAGTGTCAACAAACTGAAAAACTCCTCGACTCAAATCTTGGTATGGATTGATAGAGTTGCTCACATCATTGTCACCATTTACAGAGTGTTTGGGATTTTCCAAATTGATAATTTCTGCTGAATGTTCACTGTCTTCTGCTAATTTGGATAGCTCTTGGGTTAACTCAGAAACAAGATGCGAGGATGACCTATTACTGAGGGGAACATTGATAGACTGTTCACAGTGATCAGGTACCTGGGGCAACACAGGGATAAATGAACCATCGCTGAGGGGAACTTTGAGTGCACTGTCACTTTCTGATAATTGTTTATAGAGAAAAGAAATTTGCCGACGAAGACTATCATTCTCTCTTAATAGAGTTAAACAATTTGAACATTTATCAGTAGGACAAGAGCCGTTGCTGGGGAATTTAACAGAATTCCCTCGATATCTCAGATTGTAATGTCTTGAGCCAACTGGTATTCTAGACATAGTTTATCACAAAAAGATGCTACTGTTCGAAATTTAGTTAATGATTACAGTACCTTTGTAGCACTCCGGAGGATAAGGATAAGTGATGTCTGATAATCTTTAGGTGATAGATGGGAGTAAACTGCTTTAAAAACCGATGTCTGATAGTCCTTAGGATGTCTTTAAGATAACTTTATCGTGCAACAACCATTTACATTGACATACAACCTGTAATGGTCGTTACATTTACCGAGGCATTAGTTCCCACTGGGGGTCCTCAATAAATGTAATAGATTTGTAGTGTTGTAATTAGTTAAAAAGTTTTATGGTCTGCACTCTCCGATCCTGTATCACCCTGGATTATTTTCGGCGTATCTTTGTATATATACCTTCTAGTCAATCTCTTGCTACTCCAAGTCCCCTAGGATATCTGATCTAAAGTTTGTGCTAGTTATATAATATATGAAATATATTTTTGTCTGCTTTAATTGATACTAAATAAAATTGTTGTTTTTTTTTTATTTATTGCTGTGTAAATTTAATTCTAATTCTAATTCTAATAATGGAGGTGCTGCAAATTTTAATACTGTTCTAATCACAGTAGGTATATGTATTAATATTTGGTAAGTACTAAGTAATTATGGTAGAGGATGTTGGTGAGCTGCTGACAAAAGCAGGTTTGGAGGAGTTCTTGGACAATTTCAAGCAGCAGGTTTGAAAGTGTGTAATTCACACCCATGTTATAATACCTTACGAGACATATTTAAATGGTACGAAAGTCCATTTATGCGGTGAAATTTTGGGAGTAGTGAAAGATAAACACTGTCGGTCTCAGTGGCGTAACTTTGCCTGTTGGCGCCCCCCGATCAGTGACGAAAAGTGCCCCCCCTAAAATTTTTTGTGTCCCTAAAAAAAAAATTAAAAAAAAAAAAAAAGGTTGGGTACTTTTTTTCTTGCCCCCCCCCCCCTACAGCTTTTTGCGCCCCCCTGAAGCAAAAAAGGTACCCCAAATATTTTTTTCGCGTCCACCAAACGCTAAATTGGACACGAAAATACACAAATAAGGCGTTTTTTCAGTGAAAGGGCCTAAAATTCAGGAAAATTGCGCCCCCTTATACAGCGCCCCCCCCGCACAGCGGGGTCTGCGGGGCCCTAAGTTACGCCACTGGTCGGTCTCCTATCCCCAAGGATCAACGGGACCGCTTTTTTGGCCGGGACCGGGACCGTGACTGGACCGGGACTGGACAGAGATTAATCCGGGACCGCGCGGGACCGGGATCATAGCTAAGAAAAATGTTACTTTCAATATTCTTTTATCTTATAATGTATAATGGCGTTAGGTGCAGTATTTTAACAATATTTTATGTCAGAAAGTTGGTTGATCAATGTATTGGATTTCTAAAATATTCTACATATGATTTGAGTGTAAAAAAACATACTACTGGCCCAGGTCAATATCATTAAAAATATGTTGTATATTATTATATCTAGGTGAAATATGTCGTGGTTTTTATCACCCGATGGTGCATTTTTGGGCCCCACAATGATCCAAAGTGGCAGAGCCCGATCCAGGGGGGGGGGGGGGGGGGGGGGGGCATGATATCCCCCGTCAGATATGTCAAATATTCATTCATCTGATCAAATATGCGGGAACGTTTTTCATGTCATGTTTTGCCTGTAAAAGACAGGTAAAAGTATTCGTAAACTTTCTCAGATATTTGTAAATCATGACAAAATGTCATGATTTTGGATGTCATGATTTCGGATGTCTTGAAAATATCAAAATATTGCGCAACATTTTTTCAAGAAATAAAAAAAAGGAATTTTGTAATTCTTTCTGGTAACACAGCTTAATAACATATTATTGGATTTTAGTAATAATCTTACATTTTCCCAGGGGTTCACTACCGGGGAATCTTTGATGATATTGACAATGCAAGATTATCCAAAGTTTGGCATTGTGCATACAGAAGACAAAAGAAAGTTGTTTCAAATTATACAGCAACAGAAACAGAGCAAGTCTAAGGACGGCAGTAAGAGAATGTCTTCTGTAATCGCTCGTCTCACTTCATCTGGTTTGTTTTACTTTAACCCTCTATCAGAGTATCTAGTTAAACAAAAAATTTCTTAGTTAAACAAAAATTTCAATTTTATGCCATTTATTACAGATTAAACAAGTTTACAATAAATCAATTTGATATTTAACGGAATCCTAATTCAATGTGCAGTATGGTTGTCACTCTTTAAATAGATTAGATATAGGTTGACGGGGCAAAGGAGTGTGCGTGCTGTTCGCTATTGCTCACACCAAACGGCAACCTAGTAAATGTTTTGTATGAACACCGGTCTCCATCACGATACAAAATTAGGATTGTAGAATTTATTGTATAACTATTAGTGCAGTGGAGGTAGCGGTGTGGTGCATTAATAGAGTGACAGCCTACTGATTTAGAGTTGTTTTTAAGTGAGCATAATGGCCAATGGGTGTATTTTTGGATCTAATGGCAACTTTAAAATTTGTTCTTTTAATCATTTATTAAATATCAGTTTAAAAATATATAAATCTGGAATCTGTTCACTCTGTGAACCAGTCCTATAAAAATTTCAAAAACCCTCCTAAATTAAATATTAAAAACGTCTCAGTAATGGAAATAGTCATACAATTAAGAAATTAACCAAATTCTTAATATCTACCTAAGAGAAAAATACCTACCTAAGTCAATTTCTACCTGTAATACACTAAATATTAGGTTAAATACATAGGTGGTGGAGTCAGCACACATTTACCAAAATCAAATTTGTTTAATAGGAGGAGCCTGTGGGCCGAGATCACTGGATTAAATTTGATGAAGGGGATTGTTTTCAAATGACAGCTGCATTATGTCATAATCGCTTGTGGTCCATGCCGAATCATTATAAGCATGTTGCAGCTTTAGAAGTGCCTTTTTCAGGCGACTTTTAGCAAGGCTAATCTTGTAGGAGTAGTCAAAGAGCTTAAGTTTAGGTGCAATTGTGTTCCAAATTTTGGTGGATCTTGATATAAAGTCATTAGATGGGAGTTGTGAAATGATAGTGGTTTCCTTTCTAAAAGATGACTGATAATGCTGTTGCAGTGATGCTGGGCACCTTAGTTTTAGTATTTTAAAAACTTCCATAAATGTGTGATATGTATATAAATTTTTGAAAGCCAGGATGTTTTGTTGCTTGAAAAGTGGTTTACAGTGCTCTAGTTGGAAGAATGTATGGTCAAGTGCCTGGCTGTCAAACTCTCTTGTTCTTGCACATGTAAGGAACTTGTTTAGGTATGCCTCTTTATCACCAAAGAGGACCCGTACACAGTGCTTCTGAGACAGCCAGATACTTGCTGTCCTAAAGAGTGCTGCATCACCCCAAACTGAGATACAATATGTAATATGGGATTCAAATAGTGTCAATGAAACAAGAAATCAGGTATCAATGAAACAAGAAATTTTTCAATGAAACAAGAAATTTAATTTTAGCACATTTTACAGAATAAAAAGATGTACAACAATCCATAAAATATAATGCCCATTTGGTGTATGACTTTGGGGGAAAGCCAAGGGTTAATTCGAATTAGGAATATATCCCCTAAAAGCAGGGGTGTAGGAAGAGGGGGCAAGGGGGTGCGGTGCGCCCTCGAAAAGAGCCAATTTTTTTGCCTCATTTAGCCCCTTTGCCCAGAAAATTATACGTTTTGGACACTTTCTCAGATAATATAATTTTACCATTTGTATATTATATAATTTTACCATTTGCAGCTAAGCTATCTGTTGGCTGATGGATATTATTAGTATTAGTGGAGAACACTTTGCCTTAGCGAAACATTTTTTTGAAGATATTACTTGAGAAAAAGGCTTAGAAGCAATTTGGCAACAGAGATAATTTATTTTTCTTTTTTAAAACGCAGTTTCAAAAAAGAACAAGAAATGCGGCCGCTTTTCTTTTGTGGATGGCCGCTCAATTTCCCGATCCGTGATGGCGTATTTTATCATATTCCATACCACCTGGGGACCACAGTCTTTACTGGTTATAAGCATGCAGAATGCAGATATGGCGGAGTGACAGGCCGAGCGCCACCAAGTTAATATAATTCCATATTGAATTTGAAAATCGTGTATATTTCTATGTAACCATAATATGCTTATTGTTTATGCAACCTGACACCCGACACGGATCTGTGCAAAATAGTAATACTAACTCAAAATAATAATAGTATGCTATCAATTAGTGCCTAGTGGGATATGTACATGGTGAAATTAATAATGTACTTGGTCAGTTCAGCGCCGTGCTCCAACAATTATTTAATTCACATTATTGCGCAAAATAACTTTGCGCAGGTAGTCACGTGGGCGATAACAGTGCGCGAGGGCACGCACGCTCGCACGCAGGTATGGTCGCAAAGCTACCATATACAAAATAAACCTTGATCGCTAACCCTTGTCCTTGACTCTTTTGTGCCTTCGGCACTTTGAGTCATGGATCGGGAAAAAATAAATCGGGGTTTTACTGTACTAGGAAACATTGTTAGACAAAAAATAAAGCTCATCTAGATATTTTTTGACGTGCTAGGATATTTGGGAGTGAAAATTAAATTTTGATCGGGTTTGGGCATGTTTGAAATTTGCTCAACTTTGAGCTGAAGTAACTTGTGAACTGAATGAGCAATTTCATCATTTAAAAAACATAAGACTCTCTGCCAGAAAAACAGACATTTTGAGAAGCTCAATTTTTGGCTAAAAGTCATAATGCCATTTCTCCGAGCATGTCCAATTAGTTTCCACTTTTCCTAGCACACCCCATTAGTTCCCACTTCTCTTAATATGCCCCATTAGTTCTCCTAAACGTTTGGACATGGCTTTGTCCCACAATGAGTGTGTTTTGTAATTATCATTCTTATTGTCATTTTAAAGGTCCCATTAAAAAAACTAGATTTGTACCACTGTTATACTTGTAGCCACATTGAATTTTGAATCTGTACTTATTTTAAGATACCCAATCCCCAATGCTTAACTTCCAGTCGCAAGCCTGGGACCACTACTAGCATAGTCACAACATCTACAAAGCTGCCATATAGCCTGACTGACAATTTTCTCGACTGACTGACAATGTTTCTTCTTTTTCCCCATTTAGAATACAAAGATTAGTACTTTTAGCTTATGATTAATATTATATTTTGACCTATAGTTTACCTAGCTTAAGAACTGGCCCTACAGTTAAAGATAATCTGGTTGGTGCAATGTCACTAATTAATTATCAAATGATTTAAAATTTGTTTTCAGTCAAAATGGTCCCAAATCTGAATTTTCAAGAAAACAACAAATTTTTTTAATTTAAATCAATTATAGCAACAATTTGAAAAACTTTTTTCTCTATAATAATCATTTAACCTATAAGTTAACCTATTTTCGACCTCAGAACGCAAATCAAAAGAGAAGAAAGAGTCAACCCCTGAACCCACACCCCCCAATAGCACATATTTCAACCGGGCAACGTTTTTACGTCGCAGTTTTAACAAAACAAAAGGCAATGATAACGAGCCCTCCTTACAGAGATCCACTAAACAAAGCATGTCCTCCCGAAATATGACGTCGCGTGAGAGAAACCGCTGTGCATCATCGCAACCTGCTCTTTCTAACAAGAAAATATCGTCTTCCGCTTCAGCTGAAAACATAAACAACCTCAAGTTAAATAACGGAAGCCACCTACTCCGCAAGTCTGCTAGCGGAAAAACTGTGTCGTATCTGGGGAAAACAGAATCAAACCCTCCCATTCGTACCCGGTCAAAAACCACTTCAGTATTTACCAGCTCGACAGACAAAGCAAGACCAACATCAGCGTCTAAAGTTTCAGATAAGATAAAAGTTTGTGTTCGAAAACGTCCCCTGAACCGAAGAGAGAAAACCCGGAACGAAGAGGATGTTGTAGAGATCCCGTCTGGCAATCAGTGCTTTGTGTATGAGAGTAAAACATCTGTTGATTTATCAAAGTTCGTACAGAAGCACTGTTACATGTTTGATAGGGCTTTTGGTGAGGCAGCGGATAATGAGCTGGTTTACTGCAACACAGCTAAACCCCTCGTAGACTGGGTCTTCCAAGGGTAAGTAAACCTCTCGTAGACTGGGTCTTTCAAGGGTAAGTAAACCCCTCGTAGACTGGGTCTTCCAAGGGTAAGTAAACCCCTTGTAGACTGGGTCTTCCAAGGGTAAGTAAACCCCTTGTAGACTGGGTCTTCCAAGGGTAAGTAAACCCCTTGTAGACTGGGTCTTCCAAGGGTAAGTAAACCCCTTGTAGACTGGGTCTTCCAAGGGTAAGTAAACCCCTTGTAGACTGGGTCTTCCAAGGGTAAGTAAACCCCTCGTAGACTGGGTCTTCCAAGGGTAAGTAAACCCCTCGTAGACTGGGTCTTCCAAGGGTAAGTAAACCCCTTGTAGACTGGGTCTTCCAAGGGTAAGTAAACCCCTTGTAGACTGGGTCTTCCAAGGGTAAGTAAACCCCTTGTAGACCGGGTCTTCCAAGGGTAAGTAAACCCCTCGTAGACTGGGTCTTCCAAGGGTAAGTAAACCCCTTGTAGACTGGGTCTTCCAAGGGTAAGTAAACCCCTTGTAGACTGGGTCTTCCAAGGGTAAGTAAACCCCTTGTAGACTGGGTCTTCCAAGGGTAAGTAAACCCCTCGTAGACTGGGTCTTCCAAGGGTAAGTAAACCTCTCGTAGACTGAGTCTTCCAAGGGTAAGTAAACCCCTCGTAGACTGGGTCTTCCAAGGGTAAGTAAACCCCTTGTAGACTGGGTCTTCCAAGGGTAAGTAAACCCCTCGTAGACTGGGTCTTCCAAGGGTAAGTAAACCCCTTGTAGACTGGGTCTTCCAAGGGTAAGTAAACCCCTCGTAGACTGGGTCTTCCAAGGGTAAGTAAACCCCTCGTAGACTGTGTCTTCCAAGGGTAAGTTTGATTTTCATGACTCTTGTTTGGGTGGGTGTTTGGGTGAGTGTTTAAGTTGTTTTTTTGGGTGGATGGGAATATATCCTCCAAAAGGAAGGGTTGATTGGAATCGGTGGGTATGTGAATTAGGGTTTTTGGATCGGTGGGTGCGTTATATAATATGTCATGGTGGGTGCTCTGCCTGCCTAGCTGCGGTATGGCAACCCTGGGAGAGGTTGCCGGAGAAATCAAAGTGTAAAGTGGAGGATGAGGGAGATGAGTCATAAATGAACACTTAAGTGCCTGCTGGGTGTGGAAAAGAAAGATGAGCTAAGACAACGTGTGAGTAGTCTCTATGTCACTCCGGTTTGGTCTAGCTCCTCTGGCAAAAAATGTCTCTTTTTTGTCTCCGAAATTATAGCAGTAGATACCAGGCAGCAGCTAAACTAGAGCTGCATTTGGAAACCTGTTTACCTGTTAAGTTATTTCTAGTGACGATTGGGTTTAGTTGTAGTTTCAAAAGCTAATTAGGTAGACTGGTTGGGTTTATAATTATTTTCTCAAACTACCCTGTCTAGGAAAAGTTCAAATCGGGTTCAGTTGTCCGGTAGCCATAATAACACCTAGATAAATAACAAATTTTTCAGGAACAAAGCCACTTGTTTCGCTTACGGCCAGACGGGCTCTGGCAAAACTTATACTATGATAGGAACTAAGCAGTTTCCAGGTAGATCTCTACGAAATGCTTTAATCACTTCTATTATTAACTATAAATGTTATTTTCATTTCTAAGTGGGTTATAAAATATATAACCTATCATCTGAGGGAGTGTATTAGCTAAAGTAGAACGTTATAGCTCATCAAGGATCAGTCGGAGATTTGTTGCTGCTGAAGATCAGCAGATTATCAAGCGCTTAGTTGAAAACTGTTGTCAAAGACGTTGTGGCAAAGGAAGACAGATGCCGAAATTTTATGATATTTGGGTTGGCAGAAGATTCTGATGCAAGCTTTTATGTGACAAAGTGCTGCAGGAGCAAGTACTCAGCAAAGAAAGACCATTGCAAAGCACTGAACGTGCAGCAAGTACTCAGCAAAGCAAGACCATAACAAAGCACTGAAAACTACTGTAAGGTTTCATATCCCCTGATCATTCTATTGAACAGTGTGCTGAGCAGAAGCGTTGCGGAACGTAACAAGACGGCAGAGGAGGAGACTGTTAAGGGACAAAGGTGTACAGTGTGGACAAATAACTAACGATCTGACCGGATATGGAAGTACCACAATATCTTTTGCACCTTGTCCTGCCACCTTACTACTGCCACCTTACTACTGTTTAAAGTCCACGACTCCTTGCAAACGTTTTCACGCTCTACATAATGTTTAGTTAGTATTACTGCAACTAACCATTGCAGTAATACTCAGCTCCGCGCCTAACTAAACATTGCAGTAATACTCAGCTCCGCGCCTAACTAAACATTGCAGTAATACTCAGCTCCGCGCCTAACTAACCATTGCAGTAATACTCAGCTCCGCGCCTAACTAAACATTGCAGTAATACTCAGCTCCGCGCCTAACTAAACATTGCAGTAATACTCAGCTCCGCGCCTAACTAAACATTGCAGTAATACTCAGCTCCGCGCCTAACTAAACATTGCAGTAATACTCAGCTCCGCGCCTAACTAAACATTGCAGTAATACTCAGCTCCGCGCCTAACTAAACATTGCAGTAATACTCAGCTCCACGCCTAACTGAACATTGCAGTAATACTCAGCTCCGCGCCTAACTAACCATTGCAGTAATACTCAGCTCCGCGCCTAACTAAACATTGCAGTAATACTCAGCTCCGCGCCTAACTAAACATTGCAGTAATACTCAGCTCCGCGCCTAACTAACCATTGCAGTAATACTCAGCTCCACGCCTAACTGAACATTGCAGTAATACTCAGCTCCGCGCCTAACTAAACATTGCAGTAATACTCAGCTCCGCGCCTAACTAACCATTGCAGTAATACTCAGCTCCGCGCCTAACTAAACATTGCAGTAATACTCAGCTCCGCGCCTAACTAACCATTGCAGTTAGGCGCAGAGCTGAGTATTACTGCAATGGTTAGTTAGGCGCGGAGCTGAGTATTACTGCAATGGTTAGTTAGGCTTGGAGCTGAGTATTACTGCAATGGTTAGTTAGGCGCGGAGCTGAGTATTACTGCAATGGTTAGTAACTTAGTTAGGCGCGGAGCTGAGTATTACTGCAATGGTTAGTTAGGCGCGGAGCTGAGTATTACTGCAATGGTTAGTTAGGCGCGGAGCTGAGTATTACTGCAATGGTTCGTTAGGCGCGGAGCTGAGTATTACTGCAATGGTTCGTTAGGCGCGGAGCTGAGTATTACTGCAATGGTTCGTTAGGCGCGGAGCTGAGTATTACTGCAATGGTTCGTTAGGCGCGGAGCTGAGTATTACTGCAATGTTTAGTTAGGCGCGGAGCTGAGTATTACTGCAATGGTTAGTTAGGCGCGGAGCTGAGTATTACTGCAATGGTTAGTTAGGCGCGGAGCTGAGTATTACTGCAATGGTTCGTTAGGCGCGGAGCTGAGTATTACTGCAATGGTTCGTTAGGCGCGGAGCTGAGTATTACTGCAATGGTTCGTTAGGCGCGGAGCTGAGTATTACTGCAATGGTTCGTTAGGCGCGGAGCTGAGTATTACTGCAATGTTTAGTTAGGCGCGGAGCTGAGTATTACTATTCGGGTATGCCTCAGTTTAGCTAAACAGTTGTAATCAATTTATAGTTATAATTGGTTATAAGCAGTTCTCCCATAGGTATAGTTACGCTGGCAGCAAGGGATATTTTCTCCACCATAAAATCTCAGAAATATGGAACCGGTTTTAAAGTTTACGTTAGTTTTTACGAAATATACTGTGGGCAACTCTTCGATCTTATCAACAAACGAAAAAGGTAAGTTGTTAGTCATGGAACTCGGGGAGCCAGTCAACAAGTATCCCATTATTGTGCTCGGTATCAGTGTACAATTATCCCATTAAATTGTGCTCGGTATCAGTGTACAATTATCCCATTATTGTTCTCGGTATCAGTGTAAAAATATCCCATTATTGTGCTCGGTATCAGTGTAAAATTATCCCATTATTGTGCTCGGTATCAGTGTACAATTATCCCATTATTGTGCTCGGTATCAGTGTAAAGTTATCCCATTATTGTGCTCGGTATCAGTGTACAATTATCCCATTATTGTGCTCGATATCAGTGTACAATCGTCACATTATCGTGCTCGGTATCAGTGTAAAACGAACCCATTATTGCTTTATTGTACTCGGTATCAGTTTACAACTATCCCATTATTGTGCTCGAAATCTGAAATGATAGTTAAAATGAAGTTGTTGAATGTAAAGTAATACTTATATTCGGTACGTTATATAATCTGTATTAAATTGTATTATATTATCAGGTTAAACGCTCTAGAGAACGCTAAAAAAGCTATCTGTATAGTTGGTTTGACTGAGAGACTAGTTAACTCCCACACCAGTGTTATAGACGTAAGTATTATAACAAACTGCACCACTGCACTACTGCACTACTGCACTACTGCACTACTGCACTACTGCACTACTGCACTACTGCACTACTGCACTACTGCACTACTGCACTACTGCACTACTGCACTACTGCACTACTGCACTACTGCACTACTGCACTACTGCACCACTGCACCACTGCACTACTGCACTACTGCACTACTGCACTACTGCACTACTGCACTGCTGCATTACTGCACTGCTGCACTGCTGCACTACTGCACTACTGCACTACTGCACTACTGCACTACTGCACTACTGCACTACTGCACTACTGCACTACTGCACTAATGTACTACTACACCTCCGATATTTCTGTATATTGGGTATGAATGGGGTACATTTTTTGCTGAACTTTCGGATATCCTTCGTTATTGCGGCTTCCTTCGAATCTCCAAGGAGTTTAATGTTATTTTAAAAGTGACTAGATTATTCACGATTTTCTGAAAACCTCCCTTCAACAATTTCCCGCCCTGTAACTCTGTAAAGCATTAGTTTTCTCGATATGTCTTCGGGCCGACTACTGCTTAGCAACAACGTGCTATATATCACACTAGAAGCTCGCTAATTGAAAGCTATATTCGAGGAAATTTAAAATCAGGTATTTTTTAATTTATTTCTTTCATATCTGCTCCATACTGTAAAAAGTGGGGGGGGGGGGGGGGGGGGGGGGGGCATCAACCTCATAAATACTTATAATTCCCTACGATTTCAAAATAGGTATAGGTATTTATGTATATTTATGGTTATATTTTAAATGTTTTGTTGTTTTTTTCAGTATTGTTCCCACTTTTAACATACTATATTCAATTCTAAGTGTTTAAAAGTGTTTCTACTGCATGAGGGGGTTGATATAATCAAGTTTTAAAACCAACTTTTTGGGGTTGCCTTTGTTTACCTTAAACTTGGGTTTTTAATTAATACATGATAATACACCTACACACTATTTTTCCTGTTTTTTGATTCTTTAGACCTCTTATATTAAAATATTATTCGGACATAAAATCTGGACACAAAGATCTCTCTGATGTTTGAGTGCTGAATCGGTTCTGCTTTCGATTCGTTAGCTGGGTAAATTGATAACACCTTCAGTGATAATAATTTCATCGCAAGATTCATAAATCTTCTTTTGCTTACTGTGCATTGTGCAACCCATGGAGTTTGATCAAACAAATTAATGCAGGTCATGATCATGCCGTAAAGTTTACGTTTTTCGTAATACGTCAGTTCAGTTAATAACTTTATCGGGTTTATCCTTCTCTTGTTGATTGCTTGATCTTGAATTACTTCACCACTTGTCCTCGCTTGCTCATTCATTTGGCAATCCCGGGATCCGTACTCTACGGCGTTAGACTCTAAGGCAGCTCCGTACAAAGCGGCCGGTTTCAAAGTCCGGCCGCACCTACCCGGCCCTTCGATATACAATTTTGAAATCGAGGGTTCCCCTTTGTTATGCGATCTTGGAAGGCAAGCTTCCCCTTTGTAACACGAGCTCGGAAGCGGGAGCTCTGCCTTCTAAGGTTCGTATCGAGATCGACTCGGACTGAAAATTGTCCAAGTCAAAAATTTTCAAACTTTTTCTGGAAACTATTTCTATTCATGTTTTAAGCAACCCTGATCATTATGAGCCAAAAATATTTTTTCGGTTTTCAAAGTCCGCACCTACCCTTCGATATACGATTTTGGACTCTAGGGTCCCCCTTTATTATGCGATCTCGGAAGGCAGGCCTCCCCTTTGTAACACGAGCTCGGAAGTGGGAGCTCTGCCTTCTAAGGTTCGTATCGAGATTGACTCGGACTGAAAATTGTCCAAGTCAAAAATGTTCAAACTTTTTCTGGAAACTATTTCAGTTCATGTATCAAGCTACCCTGATCATTATGAGCCAAAAATTTTTTTTCGGTTTTCAAAGTCCGCACCTACCTTTTAATATACAATTTTGGACTCGAGGGTTCCCCTTTAAAGTCCACCAATGTCCGTCCGAGTCCGCCAATGTCCGTCCGGGTCCGCAAATTTCCGTCCGAGTCCGCCAATGTCCCAAAAAACACGTCCGTTGTCTCATAGAATCCAAAAAGGACAGGACATAGGCGGACATAGACGGACGTGACACCCCCCCCCCTATAATCTTCACTTTATGACCAAAAACAAGCCGATAGCATAAAAAAGTATCAAGATAATGGTGATGAGTGATGAGACTGCCAAAATGAACTAGAGGTTTGAATTTGTTGGAGGACTCGTACAGCCACCGTAAATGATAAATGACAATCAGTTATTTAACTCATTAACTAGTCCCGTCTTTTTGGGGCACCCTGTTGTTTACTGTTGAGTGTATATCAAATCACTACTTTCTACTTCTTAGTCCTCGAGTAATATGATCCATATTATTATGATGTATGCACTTACTTACATGAAAATTTCCATGTAGTAACCTAGTAACCTAATCGTCTCAGTACAATTTATGACCAAAATTGAATTAAGAGTTCTGATCCGTGTAGGTGGGGGGGGGGGGGGGGGGGGCCGGGGTGTTATTTAAATATATTATCATAATAATCGTACAAATATTCACTCTTCAGTTGGGGGGGGGGGGGGGGTGTTATTTAAATATATTATCATAATAATCGTACAAATATTCACTCTTCAGTTAGGGGGGGGGGGGGGGGGGGGTGTTATTTAAATATATTATCTTAATAATCGTACAAATATTCCCTCTTCAGTAACTAACCTCTTTCAGTTGGTAACCATGGTAACTCTTCAGTAACTAACCTCTTTCAGTTGGTAACCATGGTAACTCTTCAGTAACTAACCTCTTTCAGTTGGTAACCATGGTAACTCTTCAGTAACTAACCTCTTTCAGTTGGTAACCATGGTAACTCTTCAGTAACTAACCTCTTTCAGTTGGTAACCATGGTAACTCTTCAGTAACTAACCTCTTTCAGTTGGTAAATCAAGGAGGGAATAGGAGGAGTAGTGGTAGTACGAGTGTTAACGCAGAATCCTCCAGATCTCACGCTATCTTACAAATAGAACTGAGAACTGAATCTGATACCCCCAAGGGAAAGTTAGTATGTTAATTAGTATGTTAGTTAATTAGTTAATTAGTTAGTATGTTAATTAGTTATCGGACTGTGCGAAATGTTTATTAGTAATACTGCTAGTACTACTAATGAATGAAGAATGAGAGTTTCTGTTCAGCAAATGAATCAGTAATTGTTATGTAGAAGTGCAGTGTGTAATTGAGTGTAATGACTCTGTGTAATCCATCTAGCTGTATGTGGGAAGGGTGGGGGGGGGGGGGGGAGGGGGGAGGTATCAATATATACAGGTATTATAATATAGACACGGAACGCGAACGTATAATTTGACCGGCAATAATTTCGGCTAGGAACAATATTTTTCCATGGGATCAAAAGCATCCAATAGATATATCACTCCCCTCAACTAAAAATTTGATTTTGAGAAAAATTTCCATGAAGACCCCCCTGCCCCCTTAACTATAACAGGATGGCCCAGAAGTAACTGCCCACACGCAACCCTTTAATAACTTTAAAGTTAACTTAAGTTTAAGTTAAAGACCCTTTTAAGATATTGCAGATACGTGATCTCGGTACTTCATCAGTGATTTCGTCACCCAATCAGTAATCTCATCGGGAGATATTCGCTAGCCAGCAACAATGAGACTCATTAGGCGGTAACGAGCATGTTGGTGGATGATGATCTGATCACTTTGAGTGAATACTGATAGTAGAGAGGTTGGGCCAAGATAGCCCACGAGAGGATAGCATTGAGATGCCTACCTCTGGGGTGTGGCAACCCTGGGGAAGGTTGCCGGTGAAATCAGAGTGAATGGTTAAGGATGGTGTAAAAAGTGACATGAGTCAAGATGTTGACTCATGTCACTGATAGACCTGATAATGACGTTCTTTAAAACTGAAGAAATTCGCATTATAGCCCTTCGGTTGCTGTCCTATAAGCAGTCTCCAACCAATCAGGGCATTGATTGAGTGAAGATATTACTGATTAAGAGCTGGATCACGTATCTGTAAGATCTTAAAAGGGTCATAACTCGGTTAAATTGTGGACAACCAACTTGAAATTTTGGGAGAGCAAAGCCCGTGATCTTCCTCCCTGTGATCACGGGCTTTCTAGTATTATATTATGTGTACATAATATTTTCCCCCACAAATTGACATCGCATCCCTAACAAAGTAACAATCGCTACTTTTATCTGGTATTCAAATATTCTTGATGAAGTGTGAATAATATGAAGATTGCAGATAATAGTATGTCGATATTATGTTAATATCCCCTTTTCTCAGGTTTTCGTTTATAGACGGTCTGGCTGATGTTAATATCCCCTTTTCTCAGGTTTTCGTTTATAGACCTGGCTGGTAGTGATATTATGTTAATACCCCCTTTTCTCAGGTTTTCGTTTATAGACCTGGCTGGTAGTGATATTATGTTAATATCCCCTTTTTTTCAGGTTTTCGTTTAAAGACTTAGCTGATGTTAATACCCCCTTTTCTCAGGTTTTCGTTTATAGACCTGGCTGGTAGTGTTAATATCCCCTTTTCTCAGGTTTTCGTTTATAGACCTGGCTGGTAGTGATATCCCCTTTTCTCAGGTTTTCGTTTATAGACCTGGCTGGTAGTGATATTATGTTAATATCCCCTTTTTTCAGGTTTTCGTTTAAAGACCTGGCTGATGTTAATATCCCCTTTTCTCAGGTTTTCGTTTATAGACCTGGCTGGTAGTGATATTATGTTAATATCCCCTTTTTTTCAGGTTTTCGTTTAAAGACTTAGCTGATGTTAATACCCCCTTTTCTCAGGTTTTCGTTTATAGACCTGGCTGGTAGTGTTAATATCCCCTTTTCTCAGGTTTTCGTTTATAGACCTGGCTGGTAGTGATATCCCCTTTTCTCAGGTTTTCGTTTATAGACCTGGCTGGTAGTGATATTATGTTAATATCCCCTTTTCTCAGGTTTTCGTTTAAAGACCTGGCTGATGTTAATATCCCCTTTTCTCAGGTTTTCGTTTATAGACCTGGCTGATGTTAATATCCCCTTTTGTCAGGTTTTCGTTTATAGACCTGGCTGATGTTAATACCCCCTTTTCTCAGGTTTTCGTTTATAGACCTGGCTGGTAGTGATATTATGTTAATATCCCCTTTTCTCAGGTTTTCGTTTATAGACCTGGCTGGTAGTGTTAATATCCCCTTTTCTCAGGTTTTCGTTTATAGACCTGGCTGATGTTAATATCCCCTTTTCTCAGGTTTTCGTTTATAGACCTGGCTGGTAGTGTTAATATCCCCTTTTCTCAGGTTTTCGTTTATAGACCTGGCTGGTAGTGTTAATATCCCCTTTTCTCAGGTTTTCGTTTATAGACCTGGCTGGTAGTGATATCCCCTTTTCTCAGGTTTTCGTTTATAGACCTGGCTGGTAGTGTTAATATCCCCTTTTCTCAGGTTTTCGTTTATAGACCTGGCTGGTAGTGTTAATATCCCCTTTTCTCAGGTTTTCGTTTATAGACCTGGCTGGTAGTGATATCCCCTTTTCTCAGGTTTTCGTTTATAGACCTGGCTGGTAGTGTTAATATCCCCTTTTCTCAGGTTTTCGTTTATAGACCTGGCTGGTAGTGTTAATATCCCCTTTTCTCAGGTTTTCGTTTATAGACCTGGCTGGTAGTGTTAATATCCCCTTTTCTCAGGTTTTCGTTTATAGACCTGGCTGGTAGTGAACGAGCAGCTGATGTTAGCGACACAAGTAAACAAACTAGGATGGAAGGAGCTGAAATAAACACTAGTCTTTTAGCTGTAAGTTACACCAAATACCTCTGAAATGTTTAACATGTCTGCTAACAGTGACGCAATACATATTATTCAAATTATCCACAGGATTTGTTTCCCTAACATGAATATTAACAGGCATACGTTCATCGAGGTGTGTGATTATGTTAAAATAATCGTAATTTTTCTTCTAAAATGAAATGAAATGTTTAACCTTTGTTTGTGTTCCATTATTACATGATATGAAATGTGAAATATGAAATGTGTAACTTGTAATGTGTATATTTCCTAACAGAGTATAATAAATGAAGATAATTTCTCCATTAGTTGAAAGAGTGTATTCGGGCCCTGGATCAAGAGTCAAAACACACTCCTTTCAGACAGAGCAAACTTACACAGGTACTGTTAACTGTTACTTTTAATTCTTAAAATCAGTGATGTTTAGGAGGATCTAGTTATCTTGCTCTAGTAGCAGAGAGCGGAAATTAAGAAGAACATGGAATGGGGGGGGGGGGGGGGGGGGGGGGTGGGGGGTGGCAAAAGTTAGAAAATTCAATTTTCCGAAGCCATATCCAATCAACATAATATTTTATCATATACGGGCAATTTCACGTTAAGGTCCCAGTCGGTGAAAATGAAACATGTTTAGACAGGCACCTAATTTTGGTGAAAAAATGTTTTCTAGACTCTTAACCTAACTGGGAACCAAGTTTTTGTTTGATATTGCACAAATGTACGATTTTTCTCATTTAAAGAAAACAGGCTCGGAAATGAATAAAATTATCTAGATTTTCGGAGGGCCATAGTTTGAGTATGCAGCAATGTTTAACTATAAAATTCCATACACTCTCTGGGACGATTTCCCGTTTTATCATTATTATCTTACTTATAATTCAGAGAATTATTCTGTATTATTATCTTACTTATAATTCAAAGAATTATTCTGTATTATTATCTTACTTAGTTACTTATAATTCAGAGAATTGTTCTGTATTATTATCTTACTTATAATTCAGAGAATTATCTTACTTATAATTCAGAGAATTATCTTTGTTTGTAGACTGTACACTGTACACTGTCCGACCGCCCACGTGCAAATCAGACGAAAAATATGAACTTGCGTAGTAACCATGGTAGCGAGGGTTATTACACGCACGTGCACGTACAATGATTGTTTCAACGACATTTTGATCGGTTTTGTTGATATTACGCTGTGTTTAGTACGAAAAATATTTTATTTGGCTGTATTTTCGGTTGGGTAGAATATTTTTGACGCGATATTAACTTACTAACAAAAAATAATATTAGCTTCCTCCCTGTGACCACGGGTTTTCTAGTTTCCCCATAAAATTCATAGTTCTTACTTCTTATGTACATGTTCGTGAGTCGCTTTAGATTTTAGATGGCTAGATTTTAGAGAGTTTAGATGGCTTGAACTGAATCTTTGGATGTTTAGTTCTTTTTTGCTATAATAAAGCGATGTATAAATTTCTAGTTAATGACACAAAGTTTCAATATTGCTGCCTTGCGCAAACGGTTTGAAATCTTTGTCGACAAGTATTTTAACATTTGGGGAAAATTTGGGATTAATCTTACTTCGGAATATGTATTTTAGCATGACGTGTCATTCTTTTTGTTAGTTCAGTTCGTTTTCAATTTTTAATCTTAATTTTAATTTTCAGTACGTTTTACCTAACAATATCATTTTTTAGCTAGCAGAATGGTTTTCAGAGGGCATTAATGAAATGTACTATGAGCTGGTCCCAAGTCCAGACGCCATTTTATTCTTTGTAATTTTCAATAACCCTGTCTAGTCATTGACTACTGATAGGGGATGAGATCATTCCAAATTTTCGTATACTATACCCAAACTATAGAGTAAAGCCCTCTGAAAATCTTGATAATTTTATTATTTTATTCATTTCCGAGCCTGGTTTCTTTGAATGAGAAAAATCACAAATTTACGCTTTATCAAACAAAAACTTTGGTTGTTCAATTCAGTACTAATGAGTCTAGAGAAGACATTTCCACCAAAATCAGGTGTCTGTCTAAATATTCTTTATTTTCTCGAAGTGGGACCTTGCCCTGGAATCAGGTGTCTGTCTAAATATTCTTTATTTTCTCGAAGTGGGACCTTGCCTTGGAATCAGGTGTCTGTCTAAATATTCTTTATTTTCTCGAAGTGGGACCTTGCCTTGGAATCAGGTGTCTGTCTAAATATTCTTTATTTTCTCGAAGTGGGACCTTGCCTTGGAATCAGGTGTCTGTCTAAATATTCTTTATTTTCTCGAAGTGGGACCTTGCCTTGGAATCAGGTGTCTGTCTAAATATTCTTTATTTTCTCGAAGTGGGACCTTGCCTTGGAATCAGGTGTCTGTCTAAATATTCTTTATTTTCTCGAAGTGGGACCTTGCCTTGGAATCAGGTGTCTGTCTAAATATTCTTTATTTTCTCGAAGTGGGACCTTGCCTTGGAATCAGGTGTCTGTCTAAATATTCTTTATTTTCTCGAAGTGGGACCTTGCCTTGGAATCAGGTGTCTGTCTAAATATTCTTTATTTTCTCGAAGTGGGACCTTGCCTTGGAATCAGGTGTCTGTCTAAATATTCTTTATTTTCTCGAAGTGGGACCTTGCCTTGGAATCAGGTGTCTGTCTAAATATTCTTTATTTTCTCGAAGTGGGACCTTGCCTTGGAATCAGGTGTCTGTCTAAATATTCTTTATTTTCTCGAAGTGGGACCTTGCCTTGGAATCAGGTGTCTGTCTAAATATTCTTTATTTTCTCGAAGTGGGACCTTGCCTTGGAATCAGGTGTCTGTCTAAATATTCTTTATTTTCTCGAAGTGGGACCTACGAATTATCCAACTTACGAATTATCCAACTAGCTACTAATTATATATCAATATCACCCTACTAATTACAGGTGTTAAGGGACTCGTTTATAGGGAATAGTAAAACGTGTATGATAGCTTCAATATCTCCCTGTTGCTCAAGTTGTGAGGACACACTCAACACTCTCCGATACGCAGACAGGTAAATTAATTAATTAGCTGCTTTTTAAAACACGCTTCGATATTTAAAACACTAGCAGAAAACCGTCCAACCCTAAACTCTAAAGTGGTGTCAAAATATAACAATATTTATTCATACCATTTGGGGCCGTGGTCCAAATTTCGGGACCTAAAGTTCTTATTCTTGGCCAATTTTTTACTTCTTCATACTGGTCAAAAAGTAATGAAACGTTTCATCTCTCACGGTTTTCACGTAGGTTATATTAAAGTTTATTAAATTTCAATTTATTATTATTATTATTTTACCGCCCTAGAATCCGTAACTTGCAACTGAGAAACAAGACAAATTGTCGGGAAAATGTCAGATCTTATTAGGCCAATGTACTATCAAAAGACGGAGCTTCATATTCATAAATAGGCCTGAATGAAAACGGTTTCAAAAAGCGTTGGTCAAGTGACTTGACTCAAGTAATTACCAAGGGTGGGCGACAATTCACCCCTCGAAAATTATCGGGGGTCAATTGTCGTACTAAGCCCTAGATTTAGCGACAGTTGACCCCAGTGTAATTACATAGGGGTCAATTGTCGGGGGTCAATTGTCGTACTAAGCCCTAGATTTAGCGACAATTGACCCCAGTGTAATTACATAGGGGTCAATTGTCGTACTAAGCCCTAGATTTAGCGACAATTGACCCCAGTGTAATTACATAGGGGTCAATTGTCGGGGGTCAATTGTCGTACTAAGCCCTAGATTTAGCGACAATTGACCCCAGTGTAATTACATAGGGGTCAATTGTCGGGGGTCAATTGTCGTACTAAGCCCTAGATTTAGCGACAATTGACCCCAGTGTAATTACATAGGGGTCAATTGTCGGGGGTCAATTGTTGTACTAAGCCCTAGATTTAGCGACAATTGACCCCAGTGTAATTACATAGGGGTCAATTGTCGGGGGTCAATTGTCGTACTAAGCCCTAGATTTAGCGACAATTGACCCCAGTGTAATTACATAGGGGTCAATTGTCGGGGGTCAATTGTCGTACTAAGCCCTAGATTTAGCGACAATTGACCCCAGTGCAATTACATAGGGGTCAATTGTCGGGGGTCAATTGTTTAATTGCCCCGATTTACCGCAATCCCCGATATACCGCGGATATTTCCTTTCCCCCAAACTCCACGGTGAATCGGGGTTTTACTGTATAGTGGTAATAGGTAGGTTAATATGTAGTAGATATTTAATATTGTTATACTCTATTTTACGAAACAATGTAGTAGTGGGTAGGTTATGTAGTAGATATTTAATATTGTTATACTCTATTTTACGAAACAATGTAGTAGTGGGTAGATAATGTAGTAGATATTTAATATTATTATACTCTATTTTACGAAACAATGTAGTAGTAGGTTAGTTATGTAGTAGATATTCATGGATATCTCAAGAGTCAAGACTCAAGGATAAGTATACACTATTCCGGGGGGGGGGGGGGGGGGGGGGGGGGGGGGGCCGGGGGGGGGGGGGGGGGAACATATGCTGACTTTTCGAAATTTCTGTAAATAACCACCTACCCAATTTTCAAAAAATTCCTCTTCATCAGTTTTCCTAAACTGAAGATGTTCTGACACCTCGATGTGACTTGTGAGCAGGGTTGCCGGCATTTTTGAGAGTCATTTTAAAGGTTTTTTTCACGTCTTTTAAGGCCCCTTTGGACCAATTTTTAAGGTCCAAAACAGTTAAATTCAAGGTTTTTTAAGGTCCACAGTGCGAAAGTTTGGACAAACGTAATGCAATAAAGTGCAAATTTAAGGTTTTTTAAGGTTTTCCGCTACAGAAATTGCAATCTTACTATATATAAAGCGAGACGATATATATATACCCAATTTATATATATATATATGTATCAGAAGTTGTAAGTTAGTAAATCACTTTTTAGATATTGATCATGATTTAGATTTTAGTTCAGTAGCCTTATATAACTCTTCACTTAGTACGCACCTTTCTGTTATTATAGTGGACGCTCTTGAATTTAAACCTGAAATAAGTCAAGCAGATAGGGAAAAGGCCATGGAAGCTAGAGAGGGGTTCTACCAGACCCAATTGAAAACCCTTGAGCGTTATGGGGGTATGAACACCCTCGATAGTAACCACATCCTTTTTAAATCCGCTGGAGCTTAGTGTTTAGTTTATTTATTTTATTTGACATGATCTCAGCCTATTAACCCGTGTTTAGTTTACAATATTGCTATCAGAGACGTGTTATATTCATTACTATTTATATATTTTTACTGCTTGATTCAGAGAAATCTAGCTTTTTCCGAGAAACTAATCTTTAATAGATTAGATAAAATGTACGCAGCCATTCTTTTCGTTTGATTATTGCTCAGTATATTTTAGTTTTGTACCGTTTTAAGTCACATAGTTTTGTACGTCTTCCTAAGACTTGTTTTCCTTTCCTAGTTTGTAAGTTATTTTAAAGATTTGTGAATATTCCAGTTGCTTTTAGAACAATTTTATCTCAGATAACGATGTTTAATAAAATGATGCAAAGACTTATTTCGAAGATCTAATCAACACCGACTTTTAATGTGTAGGAGTACAGCTACAAAATATATATATATATATATCTGTGCCATTTTACTGACACCACGGCATCAACTTTAACGCGACTTTCCGCAATAACCATAAAAGATATACAACTGAAACTTTTTTGGCTGGGTCAAATGCTTTAATGGCCTTCAAATCAGCATGAAAAAATAAAAAATTGGCCAAGGAATAATGATTTTAGAGCCCAAAATGTGGACCCCCAAGTGGTGTCAAAAACGCCAATTAAATAGGTAATAATTATTTTAGTATTTTGAGTCTTGGCACCGTTTAGGGTTATATTATACGGGTTCCTGCTAGTCATATCTAAAGGGGAAGGTATAATTTCAGAAAAAACCCAATTAGATCTACAACAAGCTAGGTATAATTTCAGAAAAACCCAATTAGATCTACAACAAGCTAGGTATAATTTCAGAAAAACCCAATTAGATCTACAACAAGCTAGGTATAATTTCAGAAAAACCCAATTAGATCTACACCGAGCTAGGTATAATTTCAGAAAAACCCGATTATATCTACAACAAGCTAGGTATAATTTCAGAAAAACCCAATTAGATCTACAACAAGCTAGGTATAATTTCAGAAAACCCAATTAGATCTACACCGAGCTAGGTATAATTTCAGAAAAACCCAATTAGATCTACAACAAGCTAGGTATAATTTCAGAAAAACCCAATTAGATCTACAACAAGCTAGGTATAATTTCAGAAAAACCCAATTAGATCTACAACAAGATAGGTATAATTTCAGAAAAACCCAATTAGATCTACAACAAGCTAGGTATAATTTCAGAAAAACCCAATTAGATCTACACCGAGCTAGGTATAATTTCAGAAAAACCCAATTAGATCTACAACAAGCTAGGTATAATTTCAGAAAAACCCAATTAGATCTACAACAAGCTAGGTATAATTTCAGAAAAACCCGATTCTAACATTTTGGTAATAAGAAATTACCATGTACTTTTATAATCATGTTTTGGGGTACCCCTTCTTTTTTTTGGGACAAAAAAAGTACCATGATACTTTTCGAAAATTTCATAAAACACCCACCCACCCCTCGGGTACTTTTAGGGTTATGTTCCATCAAAAAAGTACCTGCAACCCCCCCCCCCCCCCGACTATTCACACAGAATCTCAAGAATTCTTTGTCTTTGTAGTGATTACTGATAACTCAGTGTAATGTACACTCAATACACTATACCAGAGCTTTTCTCTCTTTCCTGTAACCATGTTTTCTACTTGCTAATAATATCTCTCTATGGTACTGTAATGTGACGTATACACTCAATACAGTAGTGTATAGAAGCTATAGCATGCTCTGTACGTATACACTATACACTATACACTCAATCCAGTAGTGTATACACTATACACTCAATACAGTAGTGTATACACTATACACTCAATACAGTAGTGTATACACTATACACTCAATACAGTAGTGTATACACTATACACTCAATACAGTAGTGTATAAAAGCTATAGCATGCTCTGTACTGAACTGTCTATACACTATACACTCAATACAGTAGTGTATAGAAGCTATAGCATGCTCTTTACTGTACTGTCTATACACTATACACTCAATACAGTAGTGTATAGAAGCTATAGAATGCTCTGTACTGAACTGTCTATACACTATACACTCAATACAGTAGTGTATAGAAGCTATAGCATGCTCTTTACTGTACTGTCTATACACTATACACTCAATACAGTAGTGTATAGAAGCTATAGCATGCTCTTTACTGTACTGTCTATACACTATACACTCAATACAGTAGTGTATAGAAGCTATAGCATGCTCTTTACTGTACTGTCTATACACTATACACTCAATACAGTAGTGTATAGAAGCTATAGCATGCTCTGTACTGAACTGTCTATACACTATACACTCAATACAGTAGTGTATAGAAGCTATAGCATGCTCTGTACTGAACTGTCTATACACTATACACTCAATACAGTAGTGTATAGAAGCTATAGCATGCTCTTTACTGTACTGTCTATACACTATACACTCAATACAGTAGTGTATAGAAGCTATAGCATGCTCTTTACTGTACTGTCTATACACTATACACTCAATACAGTAGTGTATAGAAGCTATAGCATGCTCTTTACTGTACTGTCTATACACTATACACTCAATACAGTAGTGTATAGAAGCTATAGCATGCTCTTTACTGTACTGTCTATACACTATACACTCAATACAGTAGTGTATAGAAGCTATAGCATGCTCTTTACTGTACTGTCTATACACTATACACTCAATACAGTAGTGTATAGAAGCTATAGCATGCTCTGTACTGAACTGTCTATACACTATACACTCAATACAGTAGTGTATAGAAGCTATAGCATGCTCTGTACTGAACTGTCTAATTAAAATCTGGAATCTGTATGTGTGAGTTGTGACTTTGCTTAGTAATTAATATCTCTCAGTGTTCATCTGTGTATGATTGTGCATTTGTGTGTTTGTATTTGTACATAATTATATATGCAGTATAATTTGTGTGTACATGCGTTTGTACATATTGTGTTTGTGCATGTGTTTGTGCATGTGTTTGTGCATGTGTTTGTGCATGTGTTTGTGCATGTGTTTGTGCATGTGTTTGTGCATGTGTTTGTGCATGTGTTTGTGTATGTGTTTACACAACATAGCAGTTTTACCTGTTACTTTGTTAGTAGTTAGCTAGCACAGAGATATTTAGTAAAACTAAATATAGCGCTGTACAGCATCAAATATATTATAATATACATTATACATTATACATTGTACATTATATACATTATACATTATACATTGTACATTATATATATTATACATTATACATTATACATTATACATTATACATTATACATTATATATTATATATTATACATTATACATTATATATTATAATTTACATTATACATTATATATTATAATTTACATTATACATTATATATTATAATATACATTGTACATTATACATTATACATTATACATTATACAAAATTGTAGCTTAACGCGCATAATATTGTCCTGAAGGAAAAGATGAAAACTTTAATCACATCACATATACTGGATACTGCCCAAATGTCTTTGTTTTATTGAGTCACCAGCTCAATTAAAATAACTTATTACTTGAGATGAGTTGATATTATATCTAACTGGCTTTCTTGTTACTCTGTTTGTAATGTACTACATTCCCTCTAAATAAGGGACCTGCACTGTCCATTATGCACATAAAACCACGCAGAGTGACACACTTCTTTTTTCATGTTGGTCATTTCATTAGTGAAGCAAACTGTCCATACCTCATCTTCTGTATGGTGTCCAATATTTGTTCATCAGTTACTGAGTACTTATTCAATAATTTCAACATCTGAATAAAACAAAGGGTTATACTCTTGTTTTAACACTGTAATTTGAACACAAGGAATCATTATTTTATACATTTAATGTAGTTGTTAGATGATCAAAGTATTTTCATAGAGTGAAAGAGCTGGGAAGAGACGGCAACACTCCGAGTGAGATATCCACGAGCAGTGCACAAGACGAGACACCCCTCCACTCAAGACGAGACAGTGCACAAGACGAGACACCCCTCCACTCAAGACGAGACAGTGCACAAGACGAGACACCTCTCCACTCACCTCCTGCTGTCTCCCTCGTCAGCTCCTCTCCCTCCCCTCCACGCACATCACAACAACGCCCCCATACCAGCCCCGATGCCCTGAGTGGGCTGTGCGCAGATAACTTTCCTCTGGACACGTCTGATGTTGCGAGTGATCTGCCTAGTGATGTTTCCCTACTGTCGAGAACTGACAGCGACGCAAGCTCATCCTCTCATACCAAGGTAATGTTTTCTTTACTTTTCAATAGAATACCTTAATAGTGAACGATAAGTTTGAAATAAAATTCAGAAAGAAATTCTTGTTCAAAGCCACGTTCCAGTGCAAGAAGATAAACAATTAAAATGAACGAAGTCTATGTAGGGGTACGGATAGCATAGTATGTAGATTATAGGGGTATGTTAGAACGAGCAAGATGTCTGACTATTTGATATGTAGGGGTATGTTAGAGCGAGCAAGATGTCTGACTAGTTGATATATAGGGGTATGTTGGAGCGAGCAAGATGTCTGACTAGTTGACATGTAGGGGTATGTTAGAGCGAGCAAGATGTTTGACTAGTTGACATGTAGGGGTATGTTAGAGCGAGCAAGATGTCTGACTAGTTGACTTGTAGGGGTATGTTGGAGCGAGCAAGATGTCTGACTAGTTGACATGTAGGGGTATGTTGGAGCGAGCAAGATGTCTGACTAGTTGACTTGTAGGGGTATGTTGGAGCGAGCAAGATGTCTGACTAGTTGACATGTAGGGGTATGTTAGAGCGAGCAAGATGTCTGACTATTTGATATGTAGGGGTATGTTAGAGCGAGCAAGATGTCTGACTAGTTGACATGTAGAGGTATGTTAGAGCGAGCAAGATGTCTGACTAGTTGACATGTAGGGGTATGTTAGAGCGAGAAAGATGTCTGAGTAGTTGACATGTAGGGGTATGTTGGAGCGAGCAAGATGTCTGACTATTTGATATGTAGGGGTATGTTAGAGTGAGCAAGATGTCTGACTAGTTGACTTGTAGGGGGGAGCAGGACTATTGAGCGGAGGACTGTTGAGCGTAGGACTATAGGTTGGTGAAGGTCGGAAGTAGGACTGTAGAGCGGTGTCAAATCGCCAGGGTAGGACTCTAGAGCGGCCGCCCTTATAGATCTCACAACATGAGGACTTTAGAGCGGTACGATCTTAAAATGAGGACTGTTGAGCGGTGGACTGTTGAGCGGTTGACTGTAGGCCGGTGAAGGTCGGAAGTAGGACTGCAGAGCGGCCCTCCCTTATAGATCCCATAACATGAGGACTCTAGAGCGGTATAGTGTAACTTAATTTAAGTAGGTGATAATCAGTTTTAAACTATTTTCACAACTACAATTAAATACATTTATTGAGGTATGAGATATGATAGACGAGCGTAAGTGTTGACGTGCAAAGGACTGCTGTGAGTGTACTTGAAGATTACTCATCCTCCTCCTTCTCATCAAAACTATTCTCATCAAAACTACTATCTGGACTGAAGGTATTGCGTTTACAGTGTTTATTGTGCTTCTGAACATTGAACTCTTGATAATATAACTATGTCAAATAATCAGAGCTCAGACATTAGTCTCCACTCTTGTGAGCGCCCTTTAGAACATTTGAACTTTTCATTCCAGTCTGAAAAATCAGAGAACTGTAACAATTGTCTGTCAAAAGACATCAAGATTGACTTTTTAGAAAAAAAGTTGTCTTTATTGAATGAAATTATCAGAACTAGTGATCTCATTGCTCAGTACAATGATAGTCTCATATCAGATCAAACTCAAATACAAGAACAGAGTTTTAAGTGTGAAAATTTGCTGCCAAACTTATCAGAGGAGATTGAATGTGAGATCATAACCATTACCCCTCAGTCACACGTTGTTATCAATCAAGTAGAAGCGTTTGATGTAGATGACATTGTTGTGGAAGATGTTGTATCGGACAGTTTGTTTGTTGACAACGATGTCGTGGACAAGGTTGTTCCACAGGAGGTTGTTGGAAACGAGATTGTTATCAGTGAGATTGTTGTTCACGAGGTTATGGCAGACGAGGATGATGTGTCTGATCTCCCTGTATCTACTGCTACTGGTGAATCACGGATGAACACCCCTAAGCCCAGAGACAAATATCCAAACTTGGTCCCTGCCCCTGTCTACGATCCTATAACACCGGGGCCAATGAATATATCTGTAACTTGTTCCCCATCACCAGTGAAACCAGTTACCCTACTAGATGATGGTCCATTCTCTAAATTTTCACTTGATCTATTAATGGAAGAACTTGAGTTCAGTCACGGTTTTAAAAACAGGAAATCGGTTTATTTTGGTGACTTTCCGTATGAGTATTCAGGTGCAACACATGACCCAAAAAGTGTACACAATGATTCCTACCTTGCTAAACTCAGCTCCTACATTAATGTGATATTACCCAATTTCAGACACAATAGTATTCTCGTCAATCTATATGAAACTGGAGCAGAGTTCATGCCAGCTCATAGCGATTCTGAATCATGTATTGTAGAACACTCTGATATTGTAACCATTTCACTTGGTGCGACGAGAACACTGCAAATTAGATCAAACGGCAGCAATGAAGTTGTGGGCTCTGTGCAGCTTCAGCATGGAGATGTCTTCATCATGTCCAAATTGTCTCAGGCTGACTTTCAACATGAGATACTGCCAGACGAAATGTGTGATGAACCCCGGATCAGCATCACCCTAAGACTGATGAAGCCCCCTAGGATCACTCAGTCAACTGAGTTTGGTCTGCGTTCACCGCCCCCACCCATCCCTCATTCAGGACACAAACTGACAGACTCTTCTTCACCTGCACTCTCAGTTTGCAAACAGTCAGCTAAAGCTTCACAAAAGTCTGTCCTATTCATAAGCAGCTCTATGTTCAGGTTTCTTGATGCGGACAAGTTATCATCGTCCACTGTTAGTGCTAGTAAACTGTTTTATCCTGGGGCTGATGCCAAAGTAATGTTAAATAAACTAAAAACTGACCTACACTCCGTTCCATCCCCATCTATTATTTATATTATGACAGGAACTAATAATGTGAACACAGTCTATTTTGGCTCAAAGTCACTGAAGGATGCAGCGGGTGACATTAGTAATCTCTTAAATTATCTCAAGTCAGTGTATCCGAATGCAACAATTAATGTTCTCAATATTCTTCCCAGGAGTACAAAAGGCCGCAATGATGTTGTGGCAGAGCTGAATAAGGTTATTAAGGATATGTGTAGCAAAGATTCTTGTTTTAATTACATTAGCACCCATAATTTATTTAACTATAATAGAAGTGGATTCAGGAAAGAATTTTATTTTGCCAGACCATCTGCAAAAATATCTGATAACTGTCACCTCAATACAAGCGGTGTTATTCGACTTGCTAAATTTCTGAAGTATTGGGCCCATAGGCATAAGCAAGTTTGAATTTTCAGAAAGATTGTTAACATTTATTTCATCTAGATAAGGGATAATTACACATTGTTCCTAATGTTTATTGAAGTTTTAGAAAGTTTTGTTATTATCTCATACAAATTTGCCAGTTCTGCAATTTATCTTATTCTGACAAGTTTATAGCAGCATAAATTGGAAAAATTTTCATGCTCTCACAGCAGTTCTTGCATTAACCCGTGCATTAGTAAAATCACAGTTTCATACCATGCCAAAAAGCTTGCAGTGGGACATTGCAACATGCAGGGAGGACTAACAGGTATGCCAAAATGTCTTGAAATCCAAGATCTAATCTGGAAAGAGAAATTAGATGTTTTATGCCTGAATGAAACAAATCTTAAGTCGGATATTGACTCAGCCAGTCTAAACCTACCCAAGAATTTTACTTTTATCCGCAAAGACCGTCCTAACGACAATGGTCATGGGGGATGTGGCATTCTCATCAGTGAGCACATAAAGTTTAAAATGATTCAACTAAACTTAGTTTTGCAATATGACCAAATCGAGGCTATTTGGATCCATCTTACAGATTGCAATATTTTCATCTGCTGTTTCTACAGATCTGAGTTGTTTAGTCCTCTTGACAAATTTTTAGATTATATGACAGACTGCATGATGAGTATAGGAAGTAAGAATGTTATTTGGCTGGGTGATGTAAATGTAGACCAAAACAACATCAGCAGTATGAACTATAAGAAATTAGACATTACAATGAAAATGTTTGGAATGGTACAGGTAGTTCAGGATATTACCCGCATTGCTAAACTAGGAAACAGAATCACAAAGACCACAATCGATGTTGTCATAACAAACACTTACTCCAAGTTTCTTTACTGCAAAGTCCTTGATGATTGTATAGGAGATCATCAGGTCGTAAAGTTCATTGTCGATTTCAATGTGCATAAGGCCTCAAAATTCAAGAAGTTACTAATAAGAGATCACAGCAAAATGAATGTTACTGCTCTTAAAGAATTTTTGGAAACTTGTGATTATAGACCAATAATAGATTCAACTAGTCTGAATGATGCAGTTGATGGTTTAAACGAACATATTGATCACTACTATGATCACTTCTGTCCAATTAAACAAATTAAGTGCCATAGTGATTACATCCATAAGCCATCTCCAGAATTTTTAGAAAGTAAGAAATTGAAAGGGAAACTTTACCGTAAATTTTTAACACACAACAAGAACAGACGTATACATCCAAATGGTCTTATACACTGTAATAAATGTGACTCATTATGGATGGCATATAAACGGCAGAGAAACTATTCAACCTATTTGTCTAGAATTAATAGGAAGACTAACTTAGCAACAGAACTGAAAGCCAAGTGTGCCATGAATGATCTAAAGGGTGTATGGAAAACGATAAAAACAGCATCAAATCTGCCTGTTAAAGCTAACAATATCAATAACAATCTTGATGCTGAAACCACCAATAAATATTTTGCTGAAATAGGTCCAAAGATCCAAGCAGAAGTGCAGCTGGAAAATGAAAATGAATTTCTATCTTATCTACAAAATGAGCAGATTGACAACGAGACCAGCTTGAATAGCTTTACTGAAATAACTGAGTCCAATATCTTAGACTATGTGGCAAGTATCCCTTGTAGCAAATCCACTAATGATCATATACCATTGAGAGTGTTTAGACAAATTTTACCTGCATTTATTGCTCCATTAACACATCTTGTAAATTTGAGTTTATCCAGTGGCATCATGCCAAACAGCTGCAAGGTTGCAAAAGTCACCCCAATCC